TACACTTTGTTGAAAAAGTGCAAAAAGAAGAGAAATGTTTCGCTCTTTAATACATTCAGAATACCATCCTGGATGGAATTATCGTCCCAGTGCTCAGACTGACTTTCTTCAAGACAGAGCTGGATCTCTCCTTTCCAGATGAAGACTGCTAATTAGTCGAGACTGTAAATTCCACCTTGTTTCAGACGGCCATGGAATATTTCCGTGACTAACGGAGATGCATTTTGTAGAGTGGGCAAAAAATGTCGAAGAGCCTGCTTAGCGTTAGCGAAAAATACCTCTGATCCTCGACAAATCACCTTTAACCATGACCACGAAGGGCGAGTTCGTGAGTTTCACAGGACAAAATACACTAGATCTAGATAACCTTACACAATAGGTGTCTGTTCTTTCTCACCAGATAGTTATAGTGAGACGTTGCAATGCGATGACCTACGACTAGCTGCTACTTAACGACATTTTTTACGAGCGCTCTTGACGACTTTTGACTTTAATGCGTTGTTTCACATGGACAGGATCGGTAAAACCTGTCTTAGACTTAGACTACTTGGGGTCCTCAGTTCCAAAAAGCAGACAGGAGAAACAGTATAGGCCTAATCTAGGTCTGCAATGAGTATAATTTGCTAACGCTGACTGTAAGCCACTCCATTTTTATTCATTTTATTATTTTGATATTTTTGGGTTGATGAGAATTTAATTCATTCACTCTCTTCTTGTAACTTTGTTTGGCGAACTGGATTTATTTGCAATCAACTTCATTCATCCTGCATTGGAATACACACTCGAGTAATAAAACTAAAAACTTTATGTGGGGCAAGTTGGAAATCATAAGGGAATTTTTATACCTAGAGACTGCTCACCTCTAGCTTCAACAGCACAAGGTCTGCTTCGACTATCAAGGCACCCCGGAAATAGTAGGTCACAAGAGAGTGACAAACCTACAAAAGAAGTAGAGGAAAATGTCATAGTAAGGATCAGGAAAGAAAAATCAGCAGTTCCCTGTTGTAGATCATGCACAGTTATGAGCGTGATATGAGTCAGCCCATTTACAATTCAACTATACCTAAACGAGAAATGCCCCCCCCCCCTTTTTGGGAATGGCCTAAAGACACTGCAGTCAGTGGCACTGCCCCGGGGTTTTTTCTTCGTTTGACATGTTGATTTAAGAGTAGTCAATAAAGTTAACATCATTGCTAATTAGTGAATTTGTTATTTGGAATTTGAATAGTTGTTTTGTTATGTTTATTTCTGCTCCCATTTTTCAAAGTAAACAATAAATGTGCCTGAAAAGAACACGTTCTTTGGGCCCTTACTTAGATGACAGATACGGTAGAAGGAGCAAGAGCAAGAGCAAGAGCTAGAGCTAGAGCTAGAGCGAGAGCTAGAGCAGCAACTTACATCAGTGTAACTGTCAGCCTTTCAATTGGTGGAATGGCATTTCTCCGTTTAGTATTCTGTTTTTGAATGTGTAGTCCACATAATTCCAAAAAAGGCTTTGAAAGCTTGCCTTCGTCATGCGAAAATATGCTAAGCATGTTTCGTTATCATCAAGAATTTGGTGCAACATTCTAATTTCTCCTGTTTTGCCTCGTTCTTTGCTTATGGGAAGTATCCAGAATCGACGGTGACCTTGCATATACCTACTCTTAAACCATCACCATAAAAAAATTCTTCTTCCTTATTAACGCCATTTTTCTAGCTCTAGGTCTGGTGTGCAAAAAAGAATTAACTTACGTGTGAGGACACTGTGGACACGGGCTATCCGCTACGTTAACGTACGTACTTTGTGATGAAGCGTGATGAAGCGTGAGTGCTGACGCTGTGGACTCCGACTCTTAGGTGTAAAAAACTAAGCCGCAAATCCCCTATAATTTTTCTAACCCGGTTTGGCTTACATCAAAGAAAACGTGTCTGAACTTTGGTTTGCAGTGACTTTTATGAATAGGCTTTTAGGTTCTGTTGGTCACTTTATATTTTAGACCAGCACGCAAAGACACAGAAAGATTAAACAGAGCGATTTGTTTTCATCTCGTCTTAACTACGGTAGAACGAAAGTGAACGAGCGATAGAAATAATATCAAGTAAATCATTAACCTTTAATAAGTTGAAATGTCGATTGTTACACAGTTAGTGTTAAGGATAATCAGCTGTGTTTTGTGTGTGTGTGTGTGTGTGTGTGTGTGTGTGTGTGTGTGTGTGTGTGTGTGAGTGTGTGAGAGAGAGAGAGAGAGTGTGTGTGTATGTGTGTGTATGTGTGAATGAGTGCGTGTGCGTGTGTGTGTGTGTGTGTGTGTGTGTGTGTGTGTGTGTGTGTGTGTCTGTGTGTGTGTGTTTGTTTGTGTATGTGTGTTTAGATGTAACAACAAACAAGTGTTTGTACTTTTAAGCATTAGATAAGTTGTTATGCCGATCGTTACACAGTGTAAGGTATAATAATATATTTTCGGTATATTATTATTATTTTAACTTGTCTAGATGTAACAAGTAAGAAGTATTTGCACTCTTTAACCTTTAAAATGTTGTTATGTCCGTCGTTACACACCCAGTGTTGGGCATAATCTACAATTTGTGGTCATGTGAATACTTGTCTAGATTTAACGGCAAGCGCGTATGTGTGCTCTTTATCCTTTTATAATTAATATGTCGGTTGTCACAGACTTAGTATTGGGCATAATCTACTGGGGTTTTTTAGATGTGTGTGTGTGTGTGTGTGTGTGTGTGTGTGTGTGTGTGTGTGTGTGTGTGTGTGTGTGTGTGTGTGTGTGTGTGTGTGTGTGTGTGAGAGAGAGAGAGAGAGAGAGAGAGAGAGAGAGAGAGAGAGAGAGAGAGAGAGGAAAGAGAGAGTGTGTTCTTTAACCCTGGATAAGTTTTATAAGTGTCGATACAGACCCAGTGATTGGCATAATCTACTACTTTTGTGTGCAGGTCCATAGGCAGAGCCCCCCCCCCCCTTTTTCCACTTACATGGCTAGTCCTTTTTTCGGGATTTGTTAGAGAATAAAAGAGACGGCCTCGGTCAGCTTCTTTTGGGAAATAGTTCAGTAGTTTTAAGGCAACGTTTTTTTGAGGTTTGTAAACTACATAATCCAACCATGGTGATTAATGAATAGAGGACAGCAGATTTAAACGCAAGCGGTCTCAATGACGGAAGATATGAAACAAATGTTACTCATTGTATATCACAATGAGTCAATCAAAATAAACCCACTGTCCTCCACTAACCACTGAACTGAAAACAAATCAGTCTATCAGCGCATGCAGTCAGTCGAAAAAAAAGAAAATAGATTAAAACAAACAAAAAAACTAACACTTAACTACCGTAGATTCTACTTGGTCTTACAAAAACGCCCTGTGCAGACTGTAATTAAATACTATGATGTGAAAACACATCTTTACATTTGCCCCATATGCATTAAAATCGAGATTTGTAGGGGGAATTTTTGGAATTCAGAGGCATATGCAAAAAAATAAAGACAATTCACTCCTTAGTTTCTGTGTTATGAGGTCGACAAGTTGTCCATTTGGTGTTGTCCAGACTATAGATGTAACAACAAACAAATATTTAACTTTTAGTACGTTTTTAAATCGGTCGTCACATAATTAGTTTGGTCATAATCTATTTTTGTATGTTGTGTGTACGTGTGTAAATCAAATTCAATTTGTTGGAGAAAAAAAACTAAAGGAAAATCATTTAGATCTAGATCTAGATACGATTGTTGCAATTATGAAACTTTTTTTTTTCTGGAGAAATTTTGCTTTTTATTCCTGTTCCTTAATCTGTGATATCGGTTTTGCATACTCAAGAAGTACTTTGTTGAAATTCAAATTCTAAATGTTGAAGCAAAGCAAGAAAAGATGCATCATTTAGACACATGTTTGCTAAAGAAGAATTAAACTGTTGGTTCTTTTTTCCTCTCCTGAGAAATTATGTTGCTCTCTGGGCTTAGAACATTTGAACAGCTGTCCGACAAATAGTATTTTCCTCAAATAAATCAAAACAAGTCTGACGTATCCCGTTTCCAGTTTTCTTGTTTGTTTTTCTGTTGTTTTTTTTATTTTCTTCTTGTTTGTTTGTTCTTGGTGTCGTCTGTATGCGACAGCGAAACACTTTATCCCTACACTACAGGCACCGATGTCTCGTTTTTGTACCGAAAGCAGAAGAGATATTTCTTTAACCTAGGGAGGGGGAATGGGGTATAATAATTATCTTCTTTCTTTGATTAATTCAAAACGTTGAAATCGAAGAAACAGGCAGTTTCCAGCTCAATGAGCAATTTTTTACAATTTTCTTTTTCCTTTTTTTTTCCCCTTCAACACCTTATATGTCCACGTAAAGCACTTTTCTGTATGGATTTTTTTTAAAATTGAAAACGGTTGATTGAAGGCACAAAAAAAGTCAATCTTCAGTTTCCAAGGACTCTCAAGCTATGGAAGTCATCAAACTTTGTTAGCCATATTCTTGCTAATTTCATCTCTTAACAAGGCTAACCCCGTCTCCTTGCCTTCAACCGCGATTATATTCAAGACAGCAGGGATTTCTAATTACAAAATCAAAACAAACGAACAACGAACAACCTTTATGTTGACATAATTAACTCCACGTACCCAAAACTTGACGAACACCTGATTTCATCGTGACACAAATCATCACAAACAAACAATGGATTTTAAAATAAAACAAACAAAAACTGGGATAAGACTGCAAATCATTGAATACTAATGAAGTTTATTTCAACAAAAATCTGCTTTTTTTTCTTTAGGTTTTCGTGATGGCGCTTGGTCCTTTTTGGGATCAGAAATTAAAACAAGTTGCAAAATGTGTTTTAGACATGGCGTTGATTTTCCATTTTGGAATCAATATTGTTATGTCAGTCTTTTACCCTCTGTATGTTGGTTTGGGCTTAAGGAAAATAGGAAAAAAGTTTAAAAGCTAAGAGTATGATTCGTGTTGGTTTACAAAGCTGTATCTATTCCGTCTGACGTTTTTGGTCGAGCTGCCATTAGATGGTACCGCAACCTTCGCTGAAGCTGACTTCGCGAATCTTGCCCTCGAGCCCTTCTCCGAACGTCAAGCCACACCTGCTGACCGCAAGCCTAGGTCCAAGTTCGACTGTGGACCTCTCATCGGCAATTTTGTTTGTCAGGTTATACTCTTTGAACGGACCAAGATCAAAGACTAGGGCTCGGGCTTGTCCATTACTAAATAAGAAAACGAACTTCTGGTAAGAAGTGATTGGTGCGCTGACTGTAAAGATGAGTGTATCAAAAACTCCCTCGGAGTCCTCCACATGGACGTCGTATCGCCAGCTGTTGACAGCCACGTAGGTGACAGTAACTCTCAGCTTGGCTGGGCTGCAACCTGGGTTGTTAGAGTTGTCGAAAGCGTTGGAGACCAGGTCGAATGACTGGCCGGGTGCGATGCTCTCAGTTATGAAGCTTAGAGTAAATTGGAGTGGAGCAAGCAGTTGGTTGGCCGCGAAGAAATAAGAGTAGATGTAGGGGGCGCTACCATCAGAGCTAATGGATGCGGAAAGAGATGCCTCGCCATTTGAAACGGTTACTCCATTGGTTTTCAAGCCAAAACCGAGATTTGCGTTCATCTTCTCGGAATATGCGCTTAAAGGGAGTTGGTCAAAGACAATGCTATATGATGGCCGACAAAGTGGGTCCAGTCTCTTGTTAGGATGTACTCCCAGTGACAGTCCAACTATAGGGCTCAAGTTAGAGCAACTGCAAGTGGAAGAGTTAAACGCAGTACCTAGCGCGCATGGTCTTCGAAGTCCTGTCACAAGCTCATAATACACTCTCGGGTCACCCTCAGGGTCAGCGGTCAGATTACAGGTTTTTGGGACCTTAAGGAATCCACATTGTTCTTTATCCTGACAACCAGAGAATTGGGAACATTGCCCGTTAAATTTATCGAATGTTTGTCCAGTAGGGCAGTTGCGTTGCTCTAGAAGACCGTTATTACACTGCCAATATGAGTCGCAGCACACGTCCGGGTATCTGGCTTGACTGCCACGATTACATTTCCAGGTAGAGCACCTAGCCTGGAAGGGAAACACACAGACGTTCAAGAAAGAACTCCAGAGAGTATTATTCTGGCATGCCAGCTCAACACGATTCCCTTGTTGATCGCATTGGTAAAACAGTTGACAGTATTCTTCGTGGGGAATCAAACCGCCATTGCATTTCGGTTTTGGAATGCCAGGGGGAAGCTGTGCCTCAGACGCTGCCAAGCAAATCAAGAAAGCAAAGGCCGCTTTTCCGAACAACATGACTTCGGTGTTGTCTTTAGTAGGGGGATGTCTTGGGATACTGTTCAAAAGAAATGAGACACGTTAAGAAACGTAAGTTTGAATTCAAGTTTCGTCTGGTGTGAAAAAAAAATTCTGATTCAGTAAAAGCTTATAAAAATAACAGTTGAGCATGAAAGGAGTACCAGCTACTGTGATGTCATGTGAGGCTTAGCTTCTTTATTGATATCGTGAGTTCGATTCCCGAGTGGAGAATGTTTTTTTATCGAGTATCTCCGTCTTTCCGTTGGGATATTTTATCCTGCTCAGCTCATACTGGCAATATAGAAGCAGCCAATATCTTATACAATTCAAATTGTGTCGATAGGGGCGTAAAGCAATAGCTTTTTTAGCTATTAATATTTTTGTTCTATTTGTTTTAAGAAGAGTCATCCTTTGAAAACCACATTTTTCATGTATAGACCAACATAAATGAATGTAGCTTAATAAGACTCAACGCTTAAATCTGCCAAATAATTCGGGGTTTTGTTTGAGACATATTACTGGTTGTTATGGTGATGGCAGCTTTATGGAAAATAAACACACGTCTTAAATTCCTAAAATCTCAAACAGTAATAAAGATCTTTTAATGCAATAGTATTATCCTTGTGATGCAACGCGACGGCATTAAGGTGGGTGATTGGAGGCTGCCACTATTACGTCCTACTTCTTTTCTTTCACGTTGTGTCTATCTGTCTTACTTTGTCCTCCTCACAAATAAATGCCTATTACTGTAGTGATGTGCTTCTCTTTACTCAAACAAACAAACTAGATAGGCGGTTTCGGGGTATTTTGATTTTTTATAAAGATAAAAGTATAACTTCGTTTTTATATCAATTTTTAAATTTTGGGGGGGTGTTTATCTGAAGTCTCAAAGGACAGGCAGAACATGGCATACTAAAAATAGATAATAAACACTTTCGTGGTTTTCATTTGTGTATGAAGGCTCAAAATGTTCAGCAACATGACCTGTGGCGCCTTGTCGATCAAATATGATACCGCTAAGTCCTTAAAGGTTAAAAGAGAACCACACCGATACAGTCCTGGTCACTAAGTGTTTGATGAAAGCAATACACAAGGTCGTTGTGTGAGATTTATACAAATGGATACAAGTCTTTGTGCAAAAGCTGGAGAGTCTACATTCGATAGTTGAAAAAACATTTGGCAGTACGTTGCTCCACGAATAGCAAATGTATTGAACAACCCCGTCGTAATCAAAGTTTGTAAATTTAAAAAAAAATCAAACTCAGATACATGTAGGACTTTTTTTCTCGAGTATTTCTTTCAGAGCAGAATAGTCATTTCAGAAAGAAACACGAATCACCACGTACTGCTTTACAGACAGAAGCAGCAAGCGCAACAACCCGTAACTCGAAACATCAGCAAAACGCAGAAAGAACCATTTTAACAGCTCAATATTTTGTGTATACATCTGCTAGTTTCATTCTAGAAAATTCCTTAATAAATACTAGTGATGAATCGAAATTGGTGTTTTGAACAGATTTTAACTGGTTGACATCCAGCTTGCCGGGACAATAATGTAACTTTTAAAAGCAAGTCTGCCCTTTGTTTTAATTGTGACGCCATATTTATTGAACACACGTTTTGAAAACCTTTGGTGCAAAAGAAGTTCTCCACTTTAAAATTATTTTTTTTTGTAACAAGTTTACCACTGAAGAGTGTCATTGGTGAGCAGTGACGTAGGCCATACTGTGGGCACATTTGTGTGAGAAGAGGGAAAGCTGTAAATACTCTCGTTTGACGTGTGACTGAGATTTGTAGTATTTTATATAAATCAATTTATGAAGAAAAAGTTAATTGTTTATCTAGCCTCAATTGTCATGTAAAATACTACTGAGTTAAGACAAATTGATACAAATTGTTTTATAAAATATGGGAGACATTGATTCACTCGTTCAAGAGATATTTTAGGATAAGTTTGCACCACACATTTTGACCATATTATACAAAACTACCACAAAGATATATTCACCTGGTAGAAAGCTGATGACACGACGCCGAAGAAAGTGAGCCACTTGGTGTGGTCCTGGGATGGCTGTGTCGATGCAGGGCAGGCTACCAAGACCATCCTTTTTATACCTTGGAGTCCCACTCTTGAGACCATTGCGACCTTGACTGCGTCCACGG